GTCCCGGGGCCCGAGGCGGCTGCCGCGGGGCAAGTTTCCGCGAAGCCTGGCTCGCCGGTTCCGGGAATCAAGCGGGGGAGGCTGAAGGATGTTGAGGTTTCGTTTCTGCCAGCCGACCGGGCGCTTGGTTTCGCAGGTGCCAGGGGTCGGGGGTACGACCTCTCCCTCTGGGCCATTAGACAGACCCGGGCTCGGGGAAGAGGCTGCGCCAACGCCCGAGGGTTTGCGTTTCCTTCGCGTCTCGTTTGCACACCATTTTCTCCCCTAAAACCAAAGCTTCTGACCTTGGGGGTGTTCGAAGAGGCTAAGTCACTTTCCCCCAGGTAGTCCAGCCTGCGAAAGGCTTCAGCTGGGAGGGCCTCCTGCCCGAGCGGGGACCCACTAGAGTCAGGCAGACCCAAGTTCGAGTCCCAACCCTGCCACTTTCTTGCTTTGACCATGGATTAGTAGTGACTTATCTGCGACCCTCAGTTTCCCCATCGCAGACTGTAGTACCAACCTCAGGGCTGATATGAGCAGTGACGATGTCAAGTGCCCGGCACAAAGAAGGGTGATTTCCCCATTAAAGGGTATGACTCGGAGGCGATCTATCCAGTAGGCCTGGGTGGCTTAGGAGGGTGGGTGTACAGTTTGTTTCCTAAGTCACCCTGTGCGAGATGGAGGGAGGCTCAGTTTCAGGAGGAACTGGTGGGAGTGAGGGGATTTCCCTGACATTAGGAAGTCAGCAGTCATGATTATTGTAGTGACTCTGCATATGTGGGAGTTTGGGCTTTTCAGGTCTTTCTACAGGAAGAACACAGTGCTTAATATCAAATCTTGCCCTCTGCCATTAGCTAGCAGCCTCAGTTTGCCAATCGCTAAAATGGTGATAGTTGGATTCCCCCCCACACCCGCCTTACCTCAGTCTACAGGATTTTGGTAACTCCACCTGGCCAAGGTCCTAGCAAGTGCTTCAAGAGCTGTGAGTGAGCCCAGGTAGTTTCCTGACCATGTTAGAGCATCAGGGACCTCCTTTAGGGAGATAGGATGGGTAGGAAGGGAACAAGTTCATGGGATGAGGTAGTATCTACCCAAACTTTTTCCAGAGCTGCATGGACCCTAGTCCCAGCCCTGCCCCTAACCAGCAGTGTGACCTTGGGCAAAGCAGTCACCCTCTCTGGTATTTGGTCAGGTGACCAGATCTTGAAAGTCCCCTTTGTGGTAACATTCTATAAGTTGATGACTCTGCTCCTGGGGAAATTTCCAGGGTAAGCGATGACACATGACTAGCACATTTGCCCTGCTATGTTCCACTTTACCAGTTCCTCTTACAGCCTAATCTTTTTTTTTTTTTTTTTTTGAGACAGAGTCTTGCTCTGGCACCCAGGCTGGAGTGCAGTGATGTGATCTCGGCCCACTGCAACCTCCACCTTCTGGGTTCAAGAGATTCTTCTGCCTCAGCCTCCCGAGTAGCTGGGACCACAGGCTCGTGCCACCACGCCCGGCTAATTTTTTGTATTTTTAGTACAGACGGGGTTTCACCGTGTTAGCCAAGATAGTCTCCATCTCCTGACCTCGTGATCCCTCTGCTTCAGCCTCCCAAAGTGCTGGGATTACAGGTGTGAGCCACCATGCCCGGCCTTACAGCCTAATCTTCATCCCTCCTCTTATAGTTACCATCAGGACAGAAGTTGAAAAAGTTTAATTATTTGGTCTTTCAGCAGAAACTCACTGAATCATTATGGGCTGGCCATGGGAGATACACAGATAGCACCTGGGGATGATAGACATAAGAAAGTGTTAACAGATACATGGAGACACATGGGAGGTACACAGATAGCTAGTGAGGGTGATAGACATAGGGAATTATTCACTTCAGGGTGAAAAGGGCTATGACAGTGCTATGAATGGTGCTGATACCGCAGGGGGGAAGTAGCTGAGTTTATGGGGTCAGGGAAGGCCTGAACTGGGACCAAGTGGGTGAGGGAGAGTTTGCAGGCAGTTAAGGGGCAGAAGAGCATTCCAGGCAAGGGGAACAGCATGTTCAAAGGCGCAGAGGTGGCCAGTCGTGGTGGCTAATGCCTGTAATCCCAGCACTTTGGGAGGGTGAGGCGGGTGGATCACGAGGTGAGGAGTTCAAGACCAGCCTGGCCAAGATGGTGAAACCCCGTCTCTACTAAAAATACAAAAATTAGCTGAGCATGGTGACAGGCACCTGTAATCCCAGCTACTGAGAAGGCTGAGGCAGAGAATTGCTTGAACCCTGGAGGCAAAGGTTGTAGTGAGCGAAGATCGTGCCGCTGCACTCCCTGGATGACAAGAGTGAAACTCTCTTTTTTTTTTTTTTTTTTTTTGAGACGGAGTCTCGCTCTGTCGCCCAGGCTGGAGTGCAGTGGCGGGATCTCAGCTCACTGCAAGCTCTGCCTCCCGGGTTCACGCCATTCTCCTGCCTCAGCCTCCCGAGTAGCTGGGACTACAGGCGCCGCCACCTTGCCCGGCTAGTTTTTTGTATTTTTTAGTAGAGATGGGGTTTCACCGTGTTAGCCAGGATGGTCTCGATCTCCTGACCTCGTGATCCACCCGTCTCGGCCTCCCAAAGTGCTGGGATTACAGGGTTCAGCCACCGCGTCTGGCCAGAAACTCTGTCTCAAGAAAAAAAAAAAGAATTAGCAGGGCATGGTGGCGCATGCCTGTAATTCCAGCGACTCGAGAGGCTGAGGCAGCAGAATTGCTTGAACCCAGGAGGCGGAGGTTGCAGTGAGCCGAGATTGCGCCATTGCACTCTAGCCTGGGCAACAGAGCAAGACTCCATCTCAAACACACAAACAAACAAACAAAAAAGGTAGGATGTTAAGAAGGATGTTCAGATGAACCCCATCCACCAAATCCATCCCCTAGGCTGTACCTCTGGGAGTCCTCCCCTCAGTCTTGCCTGGTGCAGTCTAAGGTATTTGGTGGATGGGGTCCGTCTGTGCACTGAACAATAGAACCCAGGAGCAGGGTGGGTTGATGGAGCTGGTAACAAACTGCTTTGGATGTGCTGACGTTGGGTGCCTATGGCACAAGAGGTGGTGATGCCCAGTAGGCAGTTGACTATTTGTGTCTGGGTCAGCAGAGGTGAGAGGGAGAGCCGGATGTCCTGAGCAGCAGGACAGTTTATGTTATAGAAGTCAAGGACATTTAAGGAGGAAGCAATGCTAGGGTCACATGCCATTGAGAGGTCGAGGGAGGGAAGGGTTCTACAAGGAGGAGGTCCCTGGTGACCTTAGCCTGGAAGGTTCCAGGCACTGGTGGTGGTGGAGGCTGACTGCAGTGGGTCAAACATGAATTGGGAGGGGAGAAGGGAGGAAATCATGGATTGGGAGGAAAGGGAGGAAATAGTGGAGAATAGCACTAGGGGGATGGGAGGATCAGGAGGCAAGGAACTTGGAGGCAAGGCTGGACACCCATGATGTAGATGATGACAATAGCAACAATAACAGCAACAGCTCCCCATTCGGTGAGAGTTTATTATGTGCCAAGCAATGTGCTAAGCATGTAATATACTCCCTGCAACAAGACTAAGATAGGTTCTATTCTTGTTGCCATTTTACAGAGCTACTCGGACTCTAGTCCCAGCCCTACCCCTAACCAGCAGCGTGACCTTGGGCAAAGCAGTCACCCTCTCTGGTGTTTGGTCAGGTGACCAGATCTTGAAAGTCCCCTTGGTGTTAACATTCTGTAGGTTGATGACTGTGCTCCTGTGGAAATTT